TGTAACACATACTGTGAGTCGTATGCCCCTAAAAGTGATAGAATTCTCAAGAGTTTTATTTGAGCCCATGGTGCAGGAATTTTATGGAAATCAAACTCTTGGTTCAGCTTGCCACTGATAATCTTAGTGAGAAGTGATACAAATRCTGGGACGAGGCTTTTGTAGGGAACAGGATCAACCTGACAAAACAAGCATTGCCATAAGTTAATATAAAAAAGACATTTGATTTTGTCACAGGTAGCACAATTTTAAATTCTAACCAATCCCTTAAAGACCTTGAATGTCCATCCGATAAGCTTCAACGCGAAGACCCTGCCAGGAGGCAAAAGCCGTTGACATAGCTTACATGCAGCCTCATCTGCATGCACCATCTTGTTCTTAAACTGCTCATTGCAATCTCATTTGCATTGAATTGTACCTTGCATTGGACAAGTGAGATTCTGTGTTTGAATGAATATATTAATTGTTGAAAACTGACCTACCGATATAAGATCATATAAGACATGTAGGGCTGCAGTTGAAACACTGAAGTCACCATCATTTAGTGCCTTGATGGCTCTTTGACTTATATCTGGGACTAATGAAGGACTCTTTTTGTAGATTGTATGTAGGGCCATGATGGCTTTCTTACGAATGATGTCCCTGTGATAAATGCCAAAATGTTTTTAGATAATGGATGGAGATGCATTAGATTTAACAAATTGCACAATTCGTTTTACCACATTATTAAAAGTCTAAATATTAGCAAAAACAATTTCTTTCTTTTCAATRAAATTGAGCTTGTCCATTGGCATGATGGTCAATCAGCGTGCAAGAAGTCACATAAGTGTGGTAAAATATATTATTAATTAGTATATTATATCATAATTATGTGCTTCATCTTTGATTTTCCGAAAACTTTGTGTTTTTTAAGTACAGACACACAAAAAATGCCATTCAATCTTACATGTGCTCAGATTGGTCAGAGCCACTGTGTTTGTTCAAAGGTTTCAATGAAAAGTATGCATTCTTGGTAAAAATATTCAATTAGGGAAACTCCTGTATATACAGCATTCCATTTYCCCCTACATCTGTTCTCCAATAGAYAGACTCTTGTCTAGTGACATACTGTTTGTTCACATCACACTYTGACATGATCTGTGCATCTGTTAGAGTACAACCTCATAGAAAAAGGTTAACTTTTTTATTAAACAAGAGTCATATACCATGTACCTTTTGCTATCTAGAAGAGCAAGAACTTGCTGTAAAACAGTTGGGATCATCTCAGCATTGATTAGTTTATTGACTGCAGCCAAAGCATAACAKACTTCAAGAACATTGGTGCTGGTTAAATCCTTGATAACATATTGAATTGTCAGCAATCATAAAGCATATATTTTAACCTCTTGATGGGGTATTGTAATAATAAGGCAATTCATTAAATTAATAATTCAAAAGATAAACACAATGGAAAATCATTGTTGTGACTTGCTTGCAGCTCACAGCTTTTTAATGCCCAAAAAGGTGTCTCACATTTATTACATAAATTAAAGCACTGGGTACTAATTCATATCACAATCATTATCTCTAGTCAGGCTTATATGATTTCTAAGTGTACTTTTTGAATGAGTAAGTGGCTCTTGAGTTCAAACATGAATATARACAAAACATGGAAAATGTTGTAAAATAATTCACACAAGGCATGATTATAATCAAATATTTCTTACCCTTTGTAAAGTGTTTATCAGAAGAAGAATAAGGCTGTGATTTTCATGTAGAAATATAGATAAAGCAAGATATCCTAAAAGACCAAAAGGAAGAATACATTAGTGAATCAAAAGTGAGTTAGAGAATGCAAAATTTGAATTACAGTATCTTGAAATTATTTACCAATTCTTTTGTCATGTAGATTTCTTTGTTGCGCAAAGTTAATGGCATGTATATGAAATGCTGATGCATCTACACCAAGCATTTCACAGTAGATCAGGCGGAGAAGGTATTCCCTCATCTGTTTCTGAAAAATTGGAAAAGGGATGACATTAGAAAAAAGTATAAAACATTTCACAAAAAAACCTGGCCTGAAATTTCACTTCAACCTCAATGCTGGCAATACGTCTATCAGTGGCTTGCCCCCTGAGGGAAGAATGCTCCATAAAAACCTAATGAAATTCCTGTCGGTGAGGGGCAGAATAGGAATGACAAATGTCCCTAGSATGGGAGGGAGGGGGGATTATTGGTAAACTATCAGAAATGAATTTTTCGAACTGAAACACTGTATTTGAATGCTTTTTCACTACATTTTATAAACAGTAATAGGTCGTTTAATTTTTCTTAAAGTATAAGCATGAAAAGGAAGCTGCAAATGTTATCAAGGAAATCTAAGAAAATTAGGAAAATTATGAAACTCAGAAAGAATAGTTTAATTCATTGATACTCTTTAACTAATAGCCCCAGGGTAGGTTAGACTTGCCACAAGTCGACCACACTGTTGGGRCACTGATAATTGGGACACTGATAATTCGAGCGACGTAGTCGCGAGATGAACAGGAAAAATGGACTTTGAGAAAGTCTAGGGTAGGCCTGTGGGTAAAATTCAYGATCACAAAAGCAAAATAATCCCCAAACCCCTTGGGAAGAAAAACCTTACAATCAGTAAAAAAAGAACCATTGGCAGGTTGTGCAAAGGATTGATAAAGTTATTATCCACTCCTTGATTTTGCATTTATTTTATCTGCTGGATAAGTATGTATCTGGCATGTGGATAGCACCATTCACCCATTGTCCAAAAAGCCCTAGGACCTTGATGACATAATCATAACATGTGCATATCAAAATTTACAAATTTGCAATGTTATACAGGACTTACAGATGATGWAGGTTGACCAAGTTTTTCTTTCAAAACAGAAAATTCTTCTTTGATGATTTTTTCCTCTTCCTATTCAAAAAAGAAAGAAAGATATGCAAGAATAGCYTAAAAAAATAATTATAATTATTACAATAAAACATTATTTTTAATATGCAACTATTTTAATATGCAACTATATTCTTGAAAACGTACTAAAAATATAAATTAAAGTCAMATGAAAATGATGAACTGTAGCTTAAGAAATCAACGTGTATCCTCATAAAAACATTGTACAACAATACAGCAAAATGAGTAATCTTTAACTTAAGCTTATATCTCTTACATATTTTGATTTGGCTTCACCAATTCCACGTACAAGTACTTGAAAWGCTCGAGATGTGCTTGATCTTGGCCCATTATAACCAGTCAAGAACTGTGGTATATATCCTGTTGTCTTATCCATTGAATTGCAGTCATTGCATTTATATTAGACAAAAGTATGTAGGGAGAAAAATAGTCGTTTGAAGTGAATCTTCCTTTCTTCAAGGAAGTGGGCAGAGTCCGCTGACCTGTGTCTTTTAGCACAGGTAGCCCAAATATGAAAATGAAYTTGTCGAGTTGTCGAAATTCAGTTTAGGWCATTGCATGATTATAAAAAATGCGAGCAAAATATGATTTAAATTCTTTTCTGTCCTGCCTTTAGTTGTTTCTGGAACAATGACCACAGGTAGCCTATTTTAGTACGAATTAATTTATTGAACTGCATTGCTTGGGATACCTGTGTCACAACTTAACTTGAAGCTGGAGCCATCTTTCAAGTTCTACTGATACCTGTAAGTTTTCTGTACCAATTTGCATACTTTTAAAATAGTTTTTGTGCTTTTTGAATTGTATGATACAATGAAACGAACAAATATGAACTGCATACTGTATGCATGATGGAAGTCGATAACATCGATGCTATAGAGCGGATTCGTATGACTGTTCAACGACGTAACAGTAAGCTTACATCTACGGCACGGTACGGTCACAGCACAAAAGAACCGTGTTTTTACACAGCCATACGAAATCCGCTGTATATGACTTAAGACTTTGAATAACTTATTGATGGTTTTCAACCATTCCCAGGAGAGAAAGTTAAACAAAAGATGTCCGCCATTAATTGCTGGTGGACCTGACAAAAGAAAACCACCACCGTGACTGGTGGACCTTTTTTTGTTCGCCACTTAATATTCCAGCTGTTAAGATTGCAATTGCGTTTTATTCAATGATTAAGTGTAACTGTTTTTCAATTTTACAGGTTTCTTCGTGGAAATTATTTACATGTAAATTCAATGGCAAGAATGAATCAGCRTTGTAGGAATGTTTTCAAAACTTTAGCTGTGATTGTACTAGCACTGTACATTAAACTTTGGTTGACAAAGATAGACGATAATTACTATATTCAATCTGTTGAACAGTCTCTTTCAGATGACAGACATMAATTAGTTACCATGGATAACCTGAAAATTGTCACTTATAATATGTGGTGTAATTACGTAATCAAAAATAAGAATCAAAACTTTTTAAACTATGTCCAAAGATTTGAAAGTTTGGTAAATGGTCTAAAAGATGTGGACATTATTTTTGTTCAAGAAATYTTCATATTGCGGGCAGGACCATTTGAGTTTTCAAATTGTGTTGGAGAAATGGTGGATATGATGCATTCCAAGGGTTTCAAATACAACACCAATGTAACTGACACTGTACCCTATGTGTTTGGTCAAAGCAGTGGCGTGGCAATATTCAGCAAGATTCCTTTAAGAAGTGGATATTCTGAGATCTTCAAAAATGCTGGTATATTTGAATTTGTCAACAATAAAGGATTTGCTTCTGCAGAGATTATTGTCAATGAAAAGAAAATCTCTCTTTTTAATGCACACACAGACGCCCATAAGGAAAGTATTCGAAGCCTTCAACTAAAACAACTAATATCTGCAATAGAAAAGAAGAAAAACTCTGTCATCATTGTAGGAGGAGACCTAAATATAAATGCACTTCATAAATACAAACAAGAATATTCTGARTTATTGAAAATGATGAAAAGTGTTGGRCTAAAGACAATTTTCCCAGTCCCAAAGAAAACTGAACCTTCTGGCTGTTTTGACTATCTTTTTGTGAGCTCTCATGTGGAAATTGCTGACAAAAAGGTTATTGATCTGCTGACTCCAAGTGGAGAAAGGGTTTCTGACCATTTTGGTATATTTATGGTCATTGATTTGCATAAATTGTAGAATCCTGATAAGATATTTTCATAGTCTAGTGAAGTAAATGGAGACAGAGAAGAGAATTTAAAACAGCAAAGGAAGTTTAACACAGGAGCCAGATTGTACAAAGGGTGAGTAGAGCTATCCTAGTGGTAAAATCTTGATTCAGTGGATAAAATCCATACCAAATATATGGAGAGKATAACTTTAACTTGTGGATAAGTTTATCCACCCTTTATTCAACTGGGCCCCTGAAGATGGGCATGCAGCTAGAGATAGGTGCAGATTTTATCTTTGATTTCGAAAGTGAAGAAGATAGATTGATCGTATCTCCAAGCGTTCATATCATGTTATGTTTTTTTATAGAAACTGAATATCTATAGGCAAGAAATAKGGTAATTTTGTACAGAGCATCCATGGTTACATGTTATTTTCACATGTGAGGAAGATAGGAAGCACAGAAGTACAATAGAAAGAAGAGAGAAAAGTAAAAAGAGAGATTTGTGGAGGATCGAGGCTTTTTTTTCAGGTCAAGTTRATTAATTGGTCAGTGGYSAAATGGTCTGGAARATTTGGCAACTTCTGCATGCCAGTGGGAAAATTTAACAAAATGATTTTTACTTGGACAACAAAAACTTTGTAATTAATGTGTGTAGTTAATCAGTTYAACCAATATTGAATGTCATTACTTACCTACAAGCATCCTCCTTGCCACTAGAGCAGATTTCGTATGAGTGGGACACTGTTACCGCACAGTTACCGGACCTGGCCTGCACATTTTTTTGTGAACCAATGTGGCACTAGAATTTGGTTACAGTASGATTACAGTCACAGTWCAGTACCATCCGTTTCCCACTCATACGAAATCYGCTCTAATAATGTCACAAAGTGTTTGTTAAGGTGCATTATGGGATCAAAAGTTAAAAATGTACAGCCAGCCTCATCGTATATGTATTGTTAGATAGGTACTATAATAATAGTTTTTTGATAAAATATAATATATGGCAGGCCCATAGGCTTAAAAGGTCATGTCTCTTTTTTATTGTTCTATTTTAAAATTCTATTTTTTTGAGATAGTAATTTGTTTGAACTGCTCATACTAGCAGCCATTTCTTACATACTATACTGTGCATTGAACTCATTTAGTTAAACATTTAATTTAGGTCCATATTATGAAAAAACGAGCCTCCTAACGTGCCTGTATGACCGACCGTGAAGGCTGAACTACATATTTTTAAAAATTAGACTTAAATACAAACTACAAGCTATGAATTATTAAAATTTCAAGGTTAAACATTAATGTAAATGAATMCTTTTTTTCTGTTAATGCTYGAGGCTGTGATAAATGTGTTCTTAAAGGGCTACTTGGACGAAAACTGCGAAACATTAGAAAAGACTTGGAAATCAAATAGACTTATCCATATGGGTCTAATAATCATGAAGCAACAAATTTCAAGAAGATATTGATACAAATCCTTAATAATTTGGGCACAAATGTTGGAGTAGATGACGTCATTTACTCCATCCTTTTGTTCTTCCATCTTTTGAATCAAAATTTCTCTGATGCGGGATAATTCCAAAACAAATATTTTCCCGCAATTGTTTTTAATAGATATAAATGAGTCATATATTTGTATTGCTTGACGTTTTGAAAGAAGACCATTTTCATGCAAGTAGCACTTTAAATCGGTCTTCCACTTTGGTATGGAAGAATATCTGTTATGGCTCAGAGAATGTGTTGGATTGTTCTTGGGAGGATGAGTGACAATAGTGAAAATAACATATTCTCTATATAGWGGAAGTAAGAAAAAAGGTATTTTACGACATAATTTGCTGTCATATKTAATTATGATAAACAGAATRTTACATGGTCGCTTGGAGATATGAATTTTACCTTCTCGTGTTGAAAATCTCGCTACGCTCACTTGTGAGAATCTTTTCAACACAAGAAGATAAATTCCATATCTCCGCACKCCCATATAATATCCTCTATATAATAAATGATAATGAAGTAAAAAATATTTCACAAAAGGAGACTGAACACCAAGCTAAAAAACATAATCCTAGAATATTCAGTGAGAATTATGCTGGAGTAATACTCAAGTTTCGAATTGATAGCGAAAAACCGCTGCTTTATTTGACTACAGACTCTCTTGCGCAAAGACCTGAACAAATAAACACAAAAGGGAGCACGAGAAAATTTCGTTTTTACAATAGCCTCTAAAATTTGCGTTTTCCCCGAGTTGAGACTAACCCTGTATTCCCAAAAGACTTAAGGTATGGGTCTTCTGGGAATACAGGGTTAGCCTCAACAACAAGGGGCCGTTTGGCGTGCGCATGCGCCAGTTTGTTGAAAATTCATTGAAATTCATTAGTGATTCACTTCAAGCGAGAAATTACAACGANTAGCCTCTAAAATTTGCGTTTTCCCCGAGTTGAGACTAACCCTGTATTCCCAAAAGACTTAAGGTATGGGTCTTCTGGGAATACAGGGTTAGCCTCAACTCGGGTAAAATGTAAATTGTCAGCGCTATTGTACGTACAACATTTTCTCGTACTTTCTTTTGTGTTTGGTAAGTTMTTTGCGTAAGAGAATCTGCTGTCAAATAAAACAGCGGTTGGTCGCTTAGAATTCGAAAATGGAGTATTATTGAMACGTCGATTTTGAGCAGCTGTAGGACATTGCCGCCATGTTTAATTTCCGGTGTACAGAAACTGATATAATTGTACTGTACTGTATATAATGACCATAGTGTCAAATAAGACATATTTATCGAAAAAAAATTGTTCTCCAATTCTTTTGATCGCCTAATGAGAAACATAGAATATTACAGGAGATGTGAGTGACTGCAAATTAAATTGTCTTTTTTCAAAAGGTTTGACACTAAAGAGTACTTGCTTCCTACACCCATACACTGGAAAAAATCGCGCGCTTTAAAGGTTGTAAATTTGATGTAAATATGATGCAAGTGTCCAAAATTCTGTAAATTTGATGTAAATGATTTCCATTAAATTTCCAGAATTTTGGACACTTACATCATATTTACATCAAATTTACAACCTTTAAAGCGCGCGATTTTTTCCAGTGATAGTTTGTTTTCTTCGTGAAAAAAAACGTAAGTTAAGATTTATTTTGGCGCACGAAGACAATTTAKTTTCAACGACTTTGGACAATACATTACAAATTAATCTCCAAAAATGGCCAAGAATGGCCAAGTTTATTGAAAATTTCAGTTCTATTGTTTTTTCGTCAGAACATTTATGAAAATAAAAATTATGAAAACTTAATTTAATCACAATGTAATATTTGTTAAAACTTTAGGTTGCGGAAACAAAWTTTTTTTGAATGCAAACAAGTACACTTCAATGCTGGTAAAACAAATATGTTTTACAATATCGAATGTCAAACAACTCCAATTTGCATTCCAAAGTAAATTTAARATAATTCAGTTTTGTTCAGTTTGTGTAAACGTTTTGAGTAGGTCACGTGCCAAAATGTCACTCAAATGTTTTAAAGGTGGCGATAAGTGTAATTTTTGGGCGCAATGATACTCAGTTGGTTTGCCTTCTTCCTTGTTCGCATCTTTGTTTGTTTATTGTATAAGTGAACAAAATCGGTTTGTATATATGCGTTCAATTGCTCGCTGAAAACAGTAATTTCAGCTCCATGTACAATATAAAAACGAAGCTAGTTCTAAGTTCTATCAAAGATTACCAGTGACTACAGCTTTTCAAATGAATAAGTCCAATATTACTCAGAATGGTCATCACTGTGGGAGTAATGCCAAATGGGAGATAACTACAGAACTGTTAGTGAAGTTCATAAGCATATCTCTTCTTGGCGTATTTGGAGTTTGTAGCAATGTTTTAATCATTGTCCTTGCTGTAAAATACACAGTTCGCAARAATCTACATCATCTGATCATCAACATAGCWGTCGCAGATGCACTTGTAATTWTAGTCGACCTTTATTATATTTTACCAAAACTGCTTGAGTATAGTATATACAATGGACTACCACGAGGAACATTTGCGGACGCTCTCTGCAAAGTGAGCGAATTTCTTAGACATACTTCCGTTTTATCAACTATATCATCACTTTTAATYATAAGCGTGGAAAGATTTCGAGCTACTAAACTTAAAGTACACAAAAAGCCGTATTCGTGGAAGAAACGCGCGGCTGCTTTGGCATWTCTTTGGATTGTTCCCATGGCGCTTTCAACGTACAACTTGTTTTTGCTCAAAACTGTCAAAATGGAAAATGTCTATCAATGTATYTATTGGCAAGATAATTCAGACGCTGCTTACTTTGSCCTGCAAACTGTRTTTTCTCTGGTTTTGTTTTTTGTTATATATTTATTGAGTTTTTTGACATTGAAAAGGATTTCCACGCCACAAACTATCGAAGAAAGTCTATCTTCGGAGCAGAGAAAACTTCGCAAAAGACGAATAATTGGAGCGGTGAGGATGGTAATGAGTTCTTTGTTGATGTATTCTTGTTGCTATATTCCAGGCATTCTTCTCCTTTTATTRAAAAATGTGTTTCAAATAGTCAACAACAGCACATGCATCGACTTGCCAACAATTGAATACATTATTTGGTATTTTCTGCCTATTCTGAACTCCTGCCTCGGTCCTTGGATATGTATTATATTCTTAACTGATTTTCGAGAAATGGCAATGAGAATTCTTCTTTGCAGAAAGAATAGAATTGAAACAATAAATATCCAGCCAACGCAAGGAACATCAACATGATGGAAAACTGCTATAAAACCACTGAAAAAACTTTGAAAATTGAGTACTGGAATATTCCCTAAAAGTTCTGATAGGCGATGCTTGGGCCAGAAACTCGATCTTTCCTGAAATGTGCGCCCGAAAGCAATTCCACCCTGAAATATTTTGTTAGGCAGCTAGATCATTTTTCTTTTTATTCATCATTTATAGATAAACACAGGGCTATTAAAACGGCATTTTCGATTAAGTTAAAAAGCTACAGCAAGAAGTCGGTGAAACAAGATATTCTATTGAGATATCTCATTTAGGTTGGTCTCTGCTATTATAACTTGTTTGCTTATTCAAGTTAAGTCTCACAATAATAAGTAAGAACTGRTGGCTTTCAAGGAAAGTCATTGCTGTATACATATCATTTTTCTTGTACAATTGCAATTGAATATCAAAATAAATAATCAATASTGCTGAGAAATAATGTCGCTCTGCAATCAAAACGTCCTGCATTTGTTAGAAGACATGCACATCTGTTTATCARGTACTTTGCAGACCGAAATAGATATTGTTTGCCTTGATAAAACAGAATTTTGGCAATTGAAAATATGGAAAGACAATGCAAAACAGTGTCAAACAATTGGATATAAAGTAATTTTTGGACTGGCAACTGACTGTTTTCATTAGTAACCTAAAAAAAACACCCAAAGCCAAAGGGCAACGAAAGTGTACTGATATATCTAGATGAAAAGTAAATTCTAATTAGCAACCTGTTTGCAGAGACCCACAAACACTAAATTCAAAGCAAATATTTCTAAGGGGGGGGGGGGGGGGCTTTTATTTCCCCCCCAGTAAAATCAGTAAAAACTCGAAAATATGATAAGATATAATAACTAGAAATACTTGTTTTCGATTTTTTTTTTCAAAGGTTTTAAGACTCTCTCGATAAATGTTTTCGGCATGGCAATGCTACAAACAGCTTAACATCATGAATAATAATGATAATAGCAATAAATAATATTATTATATATCAAGTGTCAAAGTTCACTTTTCCTAGTATCTTATTGGTCGAGAGTGTACCACGTGAAAGTCACAAAATTTTACTGTTTCCCGGCAACTGTCCACCAGCGGTCAATAATATGTTGTGGACCGTCAATAAGTACAAAATCGCAGAAAAACACTCTTCAGTGTCGTGAAAATGTCACATTTTCGGACGGCAGTGCATTCCAAAATTGTTATGAAACATTTAATTTCGACTTCAAATAGCTAAGTTACTTTTATAGTATTCATTTGTTATTACATTTATTGATTTTAGTGACATTTGACTATTTTTATTATGTATCATTTGCCGTTTTTCAGTCATTTTATCAAAATCCTTAATAAAAACACTTCATTTATTTACTTTTTAGCTCTCTTTGACAGTTCACTTCGGGAAACATCAGCGGTCTCGGGACCACAAAACATACTGTTTCCCTCGGTTCCAGTACAATAAGTGTTAAATAGCTATAGCTCTGATGAAATATTTAACACACAGTCTCGCTTTACTTAAGCTTATGAATAAAGGTATATTAGACAAGTTTCTTATTCTAAGACAAGAACTATAYATTAAACAAATTTAAATGAGCTTATCTAGATTATTCCTAAAGAGATTTCTTATCTTACAGAACTATTATTTTGTTTTCCTGCCAAAGAGGCAGGTGCATCACTCTACAAATAATGATATGTCAGTGGGCTATAATCAACAAAAAAACTCAAAAAACTCTTTAAAGTTTTTTTTCCTCTGAATCTAATAACTTTTACTTAAAATTTTACATGGATCATTTCTTATGTGAAAAGTATAGAATTGAAGAAACACTTTTAGATGCATCTCAATATACAAATAATAATGTCTTTTTTTACATAAAACTCGGCAAACCACATTTCCTCGTTTAGACGCTGTACCCCGAAAAGACTCTACTTCAATTAGTACTTGCCAATGCACCCGCGCTTCGAATAGCACGGAAATGGCTATGTAGCTACAATCGTTGACAAAATCTTGGACCAYTCCAGCGAATTTACTCATTTTAAGMGTGTAACACCCGCAATTCAAACGTACAATTTCATCCCCCCTAACCCCTTTAATGCAATGTTGTCATTGAGCATTTTACCATAGTACATAGCCATCCAAGACAAGACCAAACATTGATGAAAGGGGGCTATGAGGAAGAACTGTGAACAAAGGGGCAAAGTTTTGGTTGGAGACAAATAAAGTCTATGGTCCAAGATTTTTTGGCGTAGATGACTGCGGTACCGCCATACAAGTTTCAGTAAATGGCCAACGACTATACTTTTTTCTCTAGGGGCATTTTTATTCTAACAATAGTCTCTTTGACATCACCATATTGAAAGATAACCGTGACTTTATTTCGAAACGAGGCGACCAATAAATTCTGTCGGTGTGGAAGAAGGTTGCTATGGATGTCCATCTATCCAATCTATCAAACATGCTCAGAGGTCATCTTGGTTCGATGGAAAGACACAGTTACCTTTCAGTTACCTCGCCGATGATGATATGGACATATTGCGGGAACTTTCGTAGACTTATATCGCTCTCAAAAAACACCTCTCTGTTTTTACCAGATGACAATCATGGCTACCCGGCATTGGTATATGCTTCCGAAGCAATCCTGATAAACGTTTTATGTCACATGACTCAGTTTTCAGACCAAATTATGGAAAACGCAGAAAACAATATTTATTTTATACTAAATGGGAGAATAATTAGGGAGAATAATTATTTGTCTATGCATCATGGCTCTTCTACCACGAGTAAATATTGACAGTTGTTTCAATTTTAAAAAGATGAGCTTTGCATATGTTGGCGACCTATATGATATACGTACATTGTGTCAAAAATGAGAACCATTATCACGTTCACGGTGACCATGTTCACCTGATCCTTTTTTCTGTGATTGTATTTGCATAAAAACATAAACGAAAGCCAAAAAAAAAAAACATTCAGTGCCGATTAACCCATCACGCGTTTGAAGCACACTGAAGATGAGTCACGGGTCACGTAATCTAGGCAAGTTAGTTRTTTAGTCGAAACACGCCATCCGCCATGGTGAATTGTGAAAGTTTGTATGTTCTTGTGCCGGTTTCCATCTTAACCTTGCTTGTGTTGTGGTATTTTCTAAAATTGATGCTTCCAAAACCGCTAGTAAGCGACTTCAAAAACAAGTTTGTTCTGATCACTGGCTGCGACTCGGGTTTTGGAAGGATGTCTGCTATTCGCTTAGACAAGATGGGATTCCRTGTGATTGGTACTTGCCTGACAAAAGAAGGCAAAGAAAGCCTTGAATCAGTTTGTAGTGATCGTTTGATTGGTATGTTAATGAACGTGACTGACTCCAARCAGATTCATGAYGTCTTTGTCAAGGTGAAGGATATTGTTGGAGGAAAAGGTACTGCTCTTTGCATATAAATTATGTTATTTCGCACTTTTTAATGTTATTTTTCTATGCATATACAACTAGTGCACAAGTCCTGATTTTGCATTCATTTTCAGTCACAGTTTGCATGGGTCTATCTCTACAATATTGGGTATTGGATTAATTCCCTATCTCCATACATTATTTAGCAATGTTTAGTTATGCACGCAAAACTATGATATGTAGCTTCTAGTGCGGCTGAGATATCCAGATATGTTATTTTGCCAAGTGCATGCCGTTGCAGCATACCCGCATTTCAAATCATCTATCAAAACATACAATATCTTCATTTATTTAGTTTTTTTGAGTAATTTTCTATCTATGTTAATGCATTTGAGTATTTCATGAGATATCCTAACTATTGCATAGCCGTGACAGTGAGTGTCTCCAATCAGCAACAAACGTGACTGTTCATTGGTTGAGGTTAAAGTGTTTCGATCGTAATAAATAGCGCTTCGCGCGTATTTTTAAACTCCAACTACGTCGCAAATGATAAGTGCATCAAGTTGCGTGTTAAAGCATCCGTGACTGTAAATTCAATTACTCGCGCTTCCGAGAACTTTTGCAATCTCTTTCTTTGTTTCACTTATGATCTCTGTTGAAAGTTGCTTTCTCATTGGTTCAAAATAAACAATGGGCAATTTTCTAGCCTGCAGGCTAATCTAATTCTTTGTCAGTGGTTTTTATACGTGGGCATTTAATGTAAAAAAGAAAGAAAGAAAGAAATTCAGCGTGAAAATAAAATATGACAAGAGAAAAAGAGTTAAGAGAACTTATCCCCGGACCCCATCAGGAATCCTACTCATGCTATTTCGAAAAACAAACTATTTTGTCTTGTTACCAATCCCTGCGCGGATGGTACTTGTCCATGGCGGATTTGGGATGTCGACGCTTTGCGAAAAAAACTGAGAGTTATTGGTCGGGCTAGCAGTAGGCCTGAAAATAACTTTTTGGAGATTCTTCTGACTTGTTTAAAAAGTTGGTACATGTACAAAACACTTCGATAAGTATACTTAAAGTAGGTTCTTTTTCTTGTTCTTTTAGGTGTTGATTACATGACCTTTTAGGTCAAACTTATTTAAGTCTTACGGAATTTTGCATATTTTGAACTAGACGCTCTTAGAGCGTGAAGTCGGGCTATTTTGGAAAAAAATGATAAAGACAGGATATTTTACCTTGCAATATTTCTGTCGTTTTGACGTCGTTGCAGAAAGCCACCAAAAAGAATATTGTAGCGTGTGAATAAACAATTTGAATTTTGAACAGTACATTAATTAAAGTGAAAGTAGCGCATTCTTGCATTCACTATGTAAGTTAGACGTAAAAAATACATATTCTACGCCATAATTTACACTCATATATAGCCATATAATAGACAGAATATTACATCATAATCTTATCGTGATTAAGACCTTTTACTCGTTCGCCAATACGCGCACCCATGCATGTAATATCCTGCCTTTCTCAATTTTCAAAAATAGCTAGCCCGACTTCACGCTCTAAGAGCGTCTAGTTTTGAGAAGGAGAGCTGTCGACAAGAATCTAGAATCAAGAAAGGTAGAAATAGAATTAGAATCACCACCGAAGTACAGAAATAGGAACACTGCCGCCGACCACTTATATACTTTCTGCTTCTTACAAAAACCAAATCTTTTTCGTCCACAATACCGCCATATTAAATTTTAGTGTATTGACTATGCGACCATGCTTCGTATGATCTGGTAAATGACGTTTCGTTTCCAAAAAAAAATCAGGTTTAAAGATAGTGAATTGAACGGGTCTCATCAAGTGTGCAGAGCCAAGTGTATGGGCTGGGTTCTCTTAGTTCATTTTCTATCGAAGAAGAATGATTTGATGGTTAAACGTAAGCCATGGAAAATGCACTTCAATCCCGGCTCCCGGGGGTCTACTCCCCTGTTTTTGCTAGACTTGTATGTGGTCTCGAGCAAGGTATTAGAAATGTTAGGTCTGGGATGTCGTAACGGTTTTGAGGTCCCAGAGGCACACCCTTAATCACGTTTGGGGTGTAATACCTGGACTGCGCTGAATCATTACAAATCATTTATTGTATTTTTAGTTTTTCTAGTAGATAAAATGAATCGTTTGCTTTTAAGGTCTATGGGCACTTGTGAACAATGCCGGAATATTACTGTCCGTTGGTCCATTAGAATGGTACAAAATGGACGCCTTCAGAAAAATGGCCGATGTGAACCTCTGGGGGTTGATAGAAGTGACTAAAACATTTCT